GAGTGTCAGCTTTCAGAAACTGTGTGACAAGGAAAGATTTAGTGCGTAAGCAGTTGAAAAAAACTGTAACTTTATGCAAATTTAATTGCATGCATGCACATATTCATGTGCGGAGTATAAGAACATATTTATGTTTGTGTTCATCTGCTTCTCCCATTTGCTCTTTTTGACTATCACTCTGTATAGACTAATACAATAAGATAAAACAATAATTTCTTAAATATTTATTACAATATATACTGATAAATTGAATGTTCACTTCAGTGGTATGAGATTACTGGATGCTTTCAATTGATTTCCTATTGAAGTGTCACTGAACTGAACTCCGAATCAGATAAGCCATTGCATGGCAAAATGATTCACTGTTTCGGAGCACTCCAATTGGATTGTGTATTGCAAATCATTTGATTCAGATCGGAACTTTGAGCAGGTTCGTGAATCTTTTGATTCAGATCGGAACTTTGGAGCGGGTTCACGAATCATTTCACAGATTGAGTGATTCATGATCCGCGCTCCGAAGTCCCGATGTTTGTGAATCATCATTCATATATATTTTGATTCAGATCGGAACTTTGGAGTAGATTGGTGAATCTTTTGATTCAGATCGGGACTTCGGAGCACGTTGGCCTCGCAAGGCTCGTAGGATTTTTATTTAATTTTTCTTTTTTTATTAAACAGTGTGGTGGCTTCCGCCGCTTCTGTGAGAAACCACTCTCGGAGTCTTGAGGGTTTGATGCCAGAAGACAGACTTTATTATCAGAGACAATAATGAAGCCGACAGTCTCTGGGTCTGCACACTCTTAATATAGGTTTCTATAAACAATACATATCATTCAGGCCACTATGGCTAGTCTATATCTCCTCATGTCAGCAGAATAGTACTACAAAGAGGTCTCGTTCATCCCATGTCAGCACAAGATCATCTCATGTTTTCTCTTAATAGTAGCTCATATCTGAGCTCATACAGCCAAACACATGACTATAATAACTCAGTTACACACACTCCACTCTCCTGCAGGCCTCCATACACACAGGCAAACACATGATCATAATAGTAAAATAACATGATACCCAAATGGCTATATTCACATGAATTATACTTGATTAATTCACATCTAAATCTTCTACAACAGCAGCTACAAAACATCAAAACATATAGGCTACACCTTTGTATATGCGGTCATTAGTTGCTCTAACATGCCATTTCTAGAGGGATCGAAGGATTTCATAGAATTTGCTTCATCCTCTGATTGTTAAACGCAGTTGTGATCATCTGACCAAATCCGTTTTCTCCTTCAGAACATCTTCCATGCTGTCGTCGAGGTTCCTAGATGGACAAATGCAAAGATGGAGGTAAGAAATCTTCAACATTCAGTGCAAACCTCTGGCTGTGGATCTTCACACACGCTCACATTACATGCCAGTTATCTCACCTGCACTAGAATACATTCAAGAAAATCATTCCTAGAAAGGCCGGAACTTCTTTAACCATTACATCCTGTTCAAACTCACGGATGCCACTCAATGCTTTCATGTCTGATTGTCCCTAACTAAATATAGGATTTCCAGGAATTATAATAATGAAAGGGAAAAGAACAAATTATCTGTAATGACGAATGCTGAGGAACGGACTGATTTAATGAGTTCTGCACAGCGGTAGACAGTCATTAAGTTATTTTACTTTATTATTGTAATTAAGTACATTTTTCAAATATACAGGTGCATCTCAAAAAATGTGAATATCATGAAAAGTTCAATTTGTTTTGTAACTTGTTTCAAAAAGTGAAACTTTCATATGAGAAACTTTCATCGTTTGATGCTTTAAAAACCCATGGGAAAAATGCATTAACATTTTAAGAGAAACTCTAAACTTCTTCAGGTCGAAATAATGAGGAATAGGAATGATGTTTTTATGAAATGTAGTGGAGTACAAGGATGTAAATGTAAAGGTTTCCCAAAATGAAAATGCTCTGAAAAAATAAAATACTTTATTTTATTTTTTAAAATAAAATAAAGTATATTCAAATGTGTTGACAACAACGACAACAAAAACATTTTTTCTTCAAATGTGACATATGTGAATGTATTTTCTTAAAATTAAAAATAGAGCAAAATATATTTTTTAATAAAAAAAAACATATTTATAATTTTTAAATATATTTTCAAAAATATAAAAAATGGCATAAAAAAATAACAAAAATATATTGGTATAATTGGAAATTAATATATTTTGAAACATTTTAGCAAATATATTTGTATCATTTATTGCATATCTTGAAAAAATATAAATATAAATTGGAAATTAATATATTTTGAAACATATTTTAGCAAATATATTTTTCTGATTTATTGCATATCTTGAATATATATATTCAGTATATATA